AAGACAAGAGTAAATGAGACAGAAAGAGAGGCCAGCAGATGGCACAATGGTTACATTGCTGTAATCCCATGTAGCCATCTGCAGTTTGAATCTTGGACCTGGCAACCTAAAATTCACAGGGTTTATGTACATGTGTGAGTTCCCAAAATCCTAAGAGGAGAATAGATGAGCAGAGATTGCAGCATGGCCAACCCCCTTGGGGAGTAATTTGTTTTCTGTCTCTCTGTTTCTCTCTGTCTCTCCACTGAGGACACACACCCTATAGCAAAAATATCTCTCTCAATCAGTCAATCAATCAATCAATAAGAGAGAAAGAGAAAGGGGAAAGAGCACACTCAACTCAAGAGAGTCTAGTCATACAATGATTCCTTTCATTCCGTCCATCAGTTCTTGGGCATTTGTGAATAAGCCTGGCACGTTTCAGTGTAAAATTCAAAATGATGTGACTGCTGAGTCCCAGCTCATTTTTAGTGGTGCATTACTACTGCAACACAGTGCTGGCCCATACCCTCTCATTTGTAATTATTTCCGGGGCAGTGGAGACATTGATACCAGCATTGCTACCTTCTATATCTTACATCTGGATGCCCTCTGGGTCCTTTTCTATAGTCATTTAGGTTTTGATCATATTCTATTGTACTGTCCTGCTAGTTATTGTGTTATTTTCTATTCAACACCAGACATTGAGTGGACAGTATTTAGAGAAAAGTGGAGTCCTGATATGCTGTGATGTTGCTGCAGAAAAGTTGAGAGTTCGCTTCTGGCACATGGTAGAGGCCTTAGCAGTACTGGATACCCTTAATCCAGTCTTTACTCCAGGTTCAGTCCCCAACAAAAGCCAGAATGGTTTCTGTTCATCTTATCCTTAGTGTGGAATTCTTGGTCCCAATTAAAGCCTTTAGGCTTCACGGGGGATCACCTTACTTACAGACCTTAAACTCCACTTGCTTTCCTTCTTTTTTTTAGTTTTGGTTTTGTTTTGTTTTGTTTTGTTTTGTTACAGGGTGCGTGCCATAGCTGGAAAGACAGAGATGAGAGACAGAAAGAGAGAAATCACTCCCCAGGAGGGATGGCCATATCGCAATCCCTTCTCCATTCTCCTCTCTGAATCTTGGGCACACACACACACACACGACCAGTGTGAGTTTAAGCCACCAGGTCCAGAACTCAAACCATAGTTGAATACATGGGAGTTCAGCGACATAGCCATTATGCCAACTGCTGGTCCCTCTACTTGTCTTTCTTCTAGCCCACACATATGTGCAAAAACTACTCAGCTTCTTTGAACCTCCAGAGTGTCTACCCAGAATTCATCGATGAGACAAGGGAGAAAAGACCCAAGTGCCTGGCTGGACCGAGTCCTGGGTTTCTTTCTTCATTGCTTCATGTTTCTACACTGGCTCCTTACCAAGTCATGCATTCAGTTATGGGTTCCATCTGTTGTCCACTGTTTCTTCCTGTTTGTAGGGGCGATCAGTGACTTCAGATCTAATCACCCCGATTCAAAAGCAAGTCTGCTGTGTTGTCCCTAAAAACTCAGGTTTTATGTTAATCCTTCCCAAGCCCAAGGAAGGATGGGGCCAGATTTCTATGTCCCCATGGACTTCCTGTGTGCATTGAACTGTACCTGTTTTAAGATGGAAGTGCTGCCTGTGTGTTCTCAGCACTGCACCACACACACAAAGGCCAAGAGCCATTCCAGAAAGCATTGGCTGAAGGATTGCTTGGGTGGCCAGAAACAAATGCCCAGACATTCATCTACAGTGCTTTTTTTTTTTTTTTGGAGAGATTTTCACTGTAGGGCGCGTGCACTCGCCAGACAGACAGAGAGAGACATAGAGACAGAAAGCGAGAAATCACCCCCCAGGGGGGATGGTCATGCCG